AGACTAGTGAAAAGATTTGGATTCACCACTTTAGTGTGAATGCCAAGATTATTGATCATTTTCTTTATATACTCAGCGTTGTAAGAAAAGTCATGATGTGTTTTTCTCTTTTTCTATGCAAAAGTGTGTCATGACTTTTGCAACTATCCAACATATTAAATTTACTATAGGACACATATGCTCACCAGAGAGAGAAAGTGAGAAATCATCCCCCCAGGGAAGACGGCCATGCTAAAATCCCTTCTCCCTGCATTTTCCTCTTGGGATTTTAGGCTTACACATGCACAAACCTGGTGAATTCTTCAAACTGCCAACCTGGAACTCACACTGTTCAGTTGACCATATGGGAGCACCTTAACCACCACACCACTGGCTGGCCTCTGATTGATCATTTTCTTGTCCAGTTTTTCTTTCATTAGAAATAACTTTCCTCTTAGGACCAGCAGTTGGCGTAATGGCTATGTCCCTGGATTCCCATGCAGTTGACTGCGGTTTGAGTCCTGGATCGGGTGGCTTAAACTCACTCCAGGCACGTGTATGTGCATGCCCAAGATCCCAAGAGGAGAATGGAGGAGAAGGGATTGTGGCATGGCCATCCCTCTGGAGGGTAATTTCTTGCTTTCTGTCTCTCTGTCTCTTCCTCTGTCTTTCTAGAGAGTGCACGCACTATAGCAAAAACCTCACACACCAAATATATGCATATATATATATATATATATATACATACACATATATCAGCTGAAGGGCACAGAGATTCGATTTAGAATCTGGTGACTACTGTTGGTGCACTTGTAAGATTTAATTAAATACATATAACAGCCCCTGTGGGGTAGACTTCATTGTAAGTTCCTGAGCCTGGATAGTACACATGGATAGTACACTAGCAAGACAGGCCATAGGGAAAATTTCTTGGGTCTCCCTCTCTGTTCTTCTGAACTCAAATTTCGGCATAAGAAAATAAAGTAACGGTTCTGCTTAGTGTCTATGGTAGGTGATGTGAAGGCACAATGGTTTTGAGAATGATAAGGTACAAAACCTCATGACATGGGAATTCCAGAATTACTACATTATGAAGACAGGGATGCTTCATTCATCATAAGTGTAGTGCCTAACACTTTTCGACAGCTTATAAAAATAACATTGGGGAGCTTCAAGATGAAGTGGAATATCTCCTTCCCTGCCACTGACTGCCAGAAACTCATTGAAGTGGACGACGCAAACTTCGTACTTTTTATGAGAAGCATATGGTCACAGAAGTAAGGGACATTACTGTTATCACAGAAGTAAGGGACATTCCTGTTACAGACCACGGAGAACTGAAGAAAGGAAGTGCAAATCTGTTCGGAGTTGCATTGTGGATGCCAATCAGAGTATTCTCAACTTGATAATTGCAAAAAAAAAAAAAAAAAAAAAAAAAGGAGGGAAGGATATTCCAGGACTGACTGATACTACAGTGCCTCGTCGGCCTAAGGGGAGACTAGCAGAATCCCAAAAGTTTCGATCTCTCTAAAGAAGATTATCTCTGCCATTATGTTGTAAGAAAGCCCTTAAATAAAGAAGGTAAGAAACCCAGGACCAAAACACCTAAGATTCAGCATCTTTTGACTCCATGTGTCCTACAACACAAACCCCGCCAAATTGCTCTCAAGAAGCAACGTACTAAGAAAAATAACGAAGAATATGCTAAACTTTTGGCCAAGAGAATGAAAGAGGCCAAAGAAAAATGGCAAGAACAGATTGTCAAGAGACACAAGCTGTCCTCTCTGAGACGTTCTACTTCTAAGTCTGAATCCAGTCAAAAATAAGATTTTTATAATAGAAACAAATAAATAAGATCAGATCTCAAAAAAATAATAATAAGGTTGGGGAGAACGGACAAGGAGAACAGTTCCACATTACTAAAAAAAAAAAAAAAGACTAGAAAATTGAAATTTAAGTATTTGATGAAATAGACCATTATGTTAATTAGTCAAGGGACTCAATTTAAATCTCATCATAAGTATATTTATTACAGGTTGTAAGTGCATTTTGACCTTTTTTTATACAATTTGAATTGAGGTCTCCTTAAGTAAGTGTCCAGGGTGAACAAAACTTAGTAAAGTGCTCTCAGGTGAGAACAGTTGGACCAAATTGTCGTATTGACTTAATTCTTTCCAAAGATAATCATGCTTCCTCTGATGGATTCTGATCCACATTACCCTATCCTTAGGGTGTGATCCACTTTGAGACCCATTAGGTTGATTAAATTAGGCATTTAGGAGAAAGGGGATTAGCCAAAGACTAGTGAAAAGATTTGGATTCACCACTTTAGTGTGAATGCCAAGATTATTGATCATTTTCTTTATATACTCAGCGTTGTAAGAAAAGTCATGATGTGTTTTTCTCTTTTTCTATGCAAAAGTGTGTCATGACTTTTGCAACTATCCAACATATTAAATTTACTATAGGACACATATGCTCACCAGAGAGAGAAAGTGAGAAATCATCCCCCCAGGGAAGACGGCCATGCTAAAATCCCTTCTCCCTGCATTTTCCTCTTGGGATTTTAGGCTTACACATGCACAAACCTGGTGAATTCTTCAAACTGCCAACCTGGAACTCACACTGTTCAGTTGACCATATGGGAGCACCTTAACCACCACACCACTGGCTGGCCTCTGATTGATCATTTTCTTGTCCAGTTTTTCTTTCATTAGAAATAACTTTCCTCTTAGGACCAGCAGTTGGCGTAATGGCTATGTCCCTGGATTCCCATGCAGTTGACTGCGGTTTGAGTCCTGGATCGGGTGGCTTAAACTCACTCCAGGCACGTGTATGTGCATGCCCAAGATCCCAAGAGGAGAATGGAGGAGAAGGGATTGTGGTGTGGCCATCTCCCCTGGGGGGGGGGGGGATTTATGGGTTTCTCTGTGCCTGTCTCCTCTCCAGCAAGCACACAGGCCCTATGGCAAAACCT